CTAGTGGAAGGTGTCCCTGCTATGGCGGGGGGGTTTGGAACTAGATGGTCTTTAAGGGCCCTTTCAACCCAAACCGTTCTGTGATTCTCTGAGGTGAAAAATACTTTGCCTCCATCCCAGACCCCCCCTCCTCACCTAGATCTCCTCCTACAGTTGCTGCCTGCTCTCCTTGCTGGTAACAGGGGAAAAGGCCCCTGCACAGCAGCTCTCACACAAGTAGACACAGGGGAAAGGCTCATCCTCCATCCAAAACCAGTGTCCAAAACTGGTTTGGGTGGAGGTCTAGGTGCATCGCTCCTTGTGCCTGCTTCCCCCGCACACAGGGGTGAAGGAGACCCTCTGGGGAAGAAAAGCATCTCCCTAAGGGTATCCGTCTTTCCTGATGCAGACTCTTACACCTCCTGAATTTCCATATTCATGTGAGCTGGGCACTGGGCACACGCTGTGCTGTACCTGGGTAATGGCCCAGCATGATATTACAAAGTGTGTCTCATTACTGCTGGGACAAGAGGGGAAAGTTGGCTCTTACTCCTGTAGCACAGACATCTGTGTTGGAGATTTGGCCCCGCTGGAGACCAAATGATGTGGGCACAGAGCAGCAGCCGTGGGCAGGAGAGCATGCTGGACATGGACAGTGCTGGCCAAGCCCAGAAACATTGCAGACTCTGTCTGCAAGAAGCATAGGCCGCCGTCCAACAAGATTTGGGAGAGAAAAAGCGAGTTCAGTGGCAACTTTGGCATGGTCACTGCAGTGACAACCTCTCATCTGTCCCCAGGTGGCGAGTGGGAAGGAGAAGAGCAGCAAGAAGAGTGAAGATGTGCTCAGCCAGCTCAGGTCAACATCTGACCACGTGCAAAACCTCTCTCTAACCCAGTTCATCAAACGTAAGTGTGTGCATCCTCCACCTCCTGCTTGGATGGGGTTTCTCCACTTATACAAACATACATCCTGGCGAGGGGCAATGCAGTGGGTTGCAACGCTGGTAAGAAAAAAAGGATGTTCCTCCCCGTGCTCAGCCTACCCCCTAGATAAGCCCTCGAGAAGCAACTTAGGCGTACCGTGGATTTTAGTCAGATCTTCAGATTTCTTCCTGGTCTGCTCACAGCAGATGCTTGCCATCACGTCCAGACTACCCCGCTCCACCTCACGCTGATCAAAGCATCTGGGGTTGGTAGCTCTCACCATTGCGTGGCTTTACGGCTCGGCTGGGCAGTGGGAAACAGAGGCCAAAACCTCATCGGAGCCCAAAGCCAGGCAGGAAAGAGGAGTGAAAGGTGTGAACCGGGAGTAGAGCCATGGGAAGGAGAAGAGTCCCCCAGTTAGAGGGGGCTTTGCAGCTTGGGTGCATGCGGCTGCTATTGCTCAGCTCCCAGGTCATAGCAGGAATCAGACCCCCGGCAGATTTCGTCCCCAAAAGCCTCCTCAAAGCCCCTCTTTTAAGGCTGGTGACAATGTCAGAGCAAGCTGCCTTCCCTGTCCCACCAAGGATGGACGGGGCTGCCTGGAGCCAGGGTCTGAGCAATTAAAATCAGATGCATGTTTGTACAGGCTGATCTTAATCCAGTGCAATTACCTTGTTTAGAAATGAGTAGGCCCTTTGTGCTGAAGGGAATCAGCTGGGCTTTATTCTGTGGAAGTTACCTCTCAAGGTTGTTTTTTTTTGAAGGAAATACTCTGCATTTTGGCAAATACTTAAGAAAAGTGACGCTCTGAGGCCAATCTGTGTCAGCTTCCTCCATATTTCCTGAATATTATCCCTTTAATTTATTGGAAATTCTCTGTTTTATTAAGGTCAGTGCAGAGCAGGCAGAGCCAGACAAGCATGGGCAGGTTTTTATTCTGCTCGTTGCACCATTTGCCTGCTAGCCTGATGCTATATCAGAGGAACAAGTCGGGGGTTTATTCTGACCTTGTTGCACTGTCATTTAGAAAACTTGCATGATGGAAGCAGTTGCGTGGGAACAGATTTATAGCGCTCGGATGGGTTTTTCACACCAACACTCTGCTCTTTGCCTCCGAAAAAAGAATAAAAATGAGCTCCTTGCTCCTGGGTGAAGAGAGAATGAAATATCATACTTCTGCTCAAGCTGCAGGTTTGGCTCGGGGTTTGCATCAGGGTTGCTCTTGTCAGGGCTGCAGGAGCTGTGCTAATAAATTCATTATTTCTGAGGATTTATCCCCTAAAGCCCAGTTCTGAAAGAAATGAACTGTCTGTATTTTTTGACAGAAGAGCAATCTTGCTGAAATCATCAGGATTTCTATTACAAAACTGGTTTTAGAGCCAGAAACTGGATGGTAGCTAGTGTGTGTTGCTGTAGGTGGGGACAATTTGGGTGAAGTCTGAAGACTTTAGTGCTAGCTCATCTACAAGTCGCTGGAAAGAGAGTTTTACCTCCCGTTTTGTGACTGTCCTGCTTACTTTGTTTCTTCTTTCTGTCACCAAGCATTCTTTCCTCTCTATTTTTACTGTTCTTTTCTGTACAATACTTTATGAAAACAGCATTTGGAGATTTTCCAGCCTGAATCACCTTGCAATTTTATACCTTCTGTTGTTTACAAAGGGAGGCAGAATGAAGCACACATGATGGAGAAATGCTGTAGGACAGCGTGGTCCCCGTACCATGTTCATAGTGAGCCTTTTTTTACACCACACACCAGTACAAAAGAATGACCTGGCTCCTGGAGGAGAGGGGTCCCACTTTGCTGGTCTCAGGAGGCTGGAACTGAGGGGGTTGTGCTGTGAAATCTTTAAGTCCTTCCTACTTGGTTTTTGAATTGCATCTGGCATCTCTGCACACGGTGTGGGGAGCAGGAGCCCACTCTGCAGAAAGGCAGGAGATGGGCATTTAGGAGATGGGCAGTGACAATCCACCAGCAGAAACAACACAAAGCAGATTCCTGTAGCACCTTACAAGAGAAATAGCAAGCTGTGTATTAATTCGGCCTTTTGCTTGTAAAAAAATACAGTAGTTTTATGGGCAAGGGGCTAAGCGTTATGCTGAAGATGGCTATCGGCAAGAAGTCCATTGGACCTCATCTGCTTGCTGGTCCATCTGCATCTCAAGGGGAGCTTTTACAGATGGTCCCCTTCCCAGAGCTGCCTGGTACTTTGGTGCTGTCCCTAGGACAGGCAGCCCCAGGCCTGCCCATGGCTGTGGGTCCTCTGTTCAGGGTGGGATGAAGGTCACTGGTGGTTATGGGTCCCTTGTTTGGCGTGGAATGAAGGAGAGCATTAGGATGCCAGCAGGGAATGGATCGAACAGGGATCTCACACACCCAAGATCTCAGATTTCAGTCCTGGTCCCACATCATCCCTTGTAAGACAGAGCCCTCCCTCTGTTTGAGGTGTTTGAACACACTTGAGGTGTTGGAACACACTTGGGGTGTTTGAACACACTTGGGGTGGAACAGGCTTCCCAGCAGGTTGTAAAATGGCCCTGGAGATTAGGGCTGTACTTTGGCATCTGACTCATGTGCAGGTCTTCATCCACTTTCAGTTAGAAGGTGCTTTGCACCATGGATGTTGGGTCTGCCCACACAAAGCACTTGGGGTTGGAGTCAACTGAGTCGACGCTTGGACAACTGGGTCATCACCAGTGTTAGAGCATTTTGCCAACTGGCCTCGTACGTGCGCAGGGGCCACCCGTACAGGATGGCTGCAGATGCAGCCTGGGACCAGGAACGCTTCACGGGGGAGGAAAGCGACGTCTCCCCTTGGGAAGTGTCCCTTTGCCCATCAGCTGCAGGGAACAGGGATGACTGTCCCTCACGCGTGGGGAAAATGCAGCTCCTGCTCCAAACCTGGCACAAGCCCGGGGGAAACTCCGGGTGAGAAAGGCACTGCCTGGTTAGGCTGCGGTTCAGAAAAAAAGCTGCTCTTTGAGCTGAGTAAGGCTGAAGAGTGCCTTTAGGGCTTCATCATTTTCTGAAGGGCTTGGCAGAGGCAAGCCTTCAATTACTAAGCCGACCTGGAGGAGGAAGGTGTTCAGAAATGCTGTTCAGTCATTTATTTCAGCTGAAATGATGCAAAAGGAAGCGTGATTATGGAGAAGGAAATGCATTTTGTCATTTGTTCTGTTCAATGCACAATGGGGATAACTGAGAGCAAAATAAGGCTTGCAGGAATTTTTGCCATTTACCTTATTGGGAACAAAATAAGGATGCGTTAGAGCCCATCCCATGAGGCGCTTCATGTTCTTCCTTTCTCTGGAAGCCACCGGGCTTTCAATCTTTCTGGAGCAAGGTGTGATGAGCAGAAAGCAGTTTGCAAAGCCCTGGAAACTCTGCTTCAAGGACAGGAAGAGCTTTTCCATGCACAATCAGCAATAACAGGATGGAGCTGTGTACAGGATAAATACTCAGGCAAAGCACTGGGGACATTTCCAAACAATGAGGTCAATTACCCAAGAAGGGAGCAGGCTCCACTCGCTGGAGCTATTCAAAAGTAGGAAAGTCAAAGCACTGTGGGGAATGATCTTGGCTCTTGCACAGATGCTCTGCGTGACATTGGGTTGCACCCTGCTCCTCTACTCACAGAGTCCTCCTTTTGCAGGCATTGGAGCTGCTCACAGTAATCAAGAAAGCAGGATTTAGCTAGCCCGAAGTAATTTCCATTGCTAATTTCTAGGCTTCTGCTGAAAACACCTGGGAGGATGTGCAGCTTCTGTTGCACATACTGAGAATTAATCCATTAAAGGTGATCTTCAAAGCAATTAAAACACTGACTTGTTTGTTTCTCTGTGGTGCCTAAAGATGGTTTCAAGGATAGTTTTTTATTATTATTTTAAAGTTTCCACTTGCTTTTAGTATCTGCCCAGCTTCCTCTCTGGAGCTGTAAGGAAGATCAAACTAGTAATGAGATGGTGATTGCAGAGGATGGCAATCTTGCTGCCTCCCACCATGAAGTGGGAGACCTTCTTGCTGTTATAGCTTTATAGCTCTGATCTAGGGTGGCAGAGGGGGTGTAGTTTGATTGAAAAGACAAAAGAACTCTAGGGAAAAGAAATCTTTTGGGTGAAAGATTCCCACTACCTCCCACAAAAGGCTGGATTAGATATCTTGGGAGATCTTTTAGCGAGCAAGTGGATATTTGCAATATTCCAGTGTGTAACCGAGGCAGAAATACACTTCGAAAAGCAAGACCTCTGTTGACCCTTGGGAGCAAAACCACCTTCCCCTCTTTTGGTCTAGCACAGAGACACCATCACAGCTCATTCCCTCTCCACTTGACTGCTAGCCTCCCAGCTCTTCAGCATGCCAGTATTTCAGGGTCTTTGAGCGTGCCTTGCATGCTTGCACCCTCTCCAGTGCCCTGCATTTGCTGCTCCCCAAAGTCTTTAGCTGCTTGCCTAACCCTGAGCGCAGAGTGCTAGGCTAGAGAGGCAGTACTCCCATGAGTGAGAGCTTTGCCTTTGTATAGGGGGGTCCCACTTGCATCCACAGAGGGAACTTTGCTCCTCCCATAACTTTTTAGGACAGCTAAAACAAACACACAGCTTGGGGCAATTCCTAGACAAGCACCAGATAGTTCTCCCAGCTGCAATCTCCCAGCGCCTCTGTGCTGGAGCAGATATAAAGATTGTCCCGATTGTTTGTGAGCTGCTAAGAATGAACACCATTAATTTGTGGCAGGCTCTTGCGTTAATCCTCCCTGTTAATTCCTTATCTCTGCTTCAGCATATTGGCTTTCAGAGCCCTCATCTGGGAAACTCATCGTCTGTTTGTCTGGAAGTTGCCCTTATGCAGGCCCTTTGCTTGAGTGCTGCGAAGCTGGAGGAAGAGTATGGGGAAAGGTGATGGTTCAGGGGGGAGCAGAAAATGGGTTTGGGATTTTCATGAAGGAGAAATCTCTCCAGGCTGGAGAACTGCAGCCTCCCAGCTGGCGGGTGTCAGCGTCAGGCATCCCAGTTCTGAGGCACTGGGAGCAGGGCAGCTGGTTTTGCTAAGCAGGCTGACAATATCTTTTTCTCAAGCACTAAGGGTTCGGCCAGAGGGGAATTTGCTGGAGTGTTTCTTGCCTGCAATCAAAAAATACATTTTTATGATTGAAACAAAAAGGACGCTGAAATTGCAACTGCAGCAAACAAATAAATTAACTTGTAATGACTTGCCAGCTACTTTTGTATTTGTTTTAGCAGAAGCCTTGCCAGAAAGGAAAGGGAAAGGAACTGAGGGCATGCTTGCTCTGGCCACGTGTGTTTGTGACAATCACTCAGTGCTGCAGCCCTCAGCCCACGGGTGTTAGGGGAAGACACGCAGGTTTCGATCTGGCGCTCAACCATCCTGGTACCGTCCACCCGCTGAAGGCAGGAGATACAGACAGTGTTTACAGAGGTTCAGCTGAGGCTGAAAAGCTATGGCAGAGCCACTTGTGTTTCTCCTGAGGCACCATAAGACCCCGGCAGCTCTGAAGAAGAGCTCAGCAGGAGGTATTGCTGCAGAAGGTGGTGGGTTTGTCCTCTCCATTAGCAGATGTTCAGGATCATCTGAGCACATCACCCAAGTGTTGACGTGAGGTATCAGTTTTCTTGGGTCAAGATGCTTCTTTTAGAGTTTACTTGGGAAGCATTTCTTTACCAAGAGGGTGCTCAAACACTGGAACAGGCTTCCCAGAGAGGTGGTTGATGCCCCAAGCCTGTCAGCGTTGAGAAGCTTTTGGACAATGCCCTTAATAACACGCTTTAACTTTTGGTCAGCCCTGGAGTGACCAGGCAGTTGGACTAGATGATCCTTGTAGGTCCCTTCCAACTGAAATATTCTATTCTATTCCATTCTATTCCATTCCATTCCATTCTATTCTATTCTATTCCATTCCATTCCATTCCATTCCATTCCATTCCATTCCATTCCATTCCATTCCATTCCATTCTATTCTATTCTATTCTATTCTATTCTATTCTATTCTATTCTATTCTATTCTATTCTATCCTATCCTATTCTATCCTATTCTATTCTATTCTGTTCTGTTCTATTCTATTCTGCTGATGCTGATGCCTCCAACCGTTTGCCATTGCCTTGGCACAGACCTTTTATACACTGCCTGCGTGCACATGTGTTTAGAGCAGTTCCCAGTCTCAACTGCACGGGCTTCAGCAGAAATTAAGCGTGACTGACCGTGATAGCAAATCAAAAGAATTAACAGATACGGAGGTGAGCTCTGCAGGGATGGGACGTGTCCAGAGAGGAGTTGCTGTCTTCTCAGGTTCACTTTGAGGCTGGGCATGCTTTGCACTGAAAACCCTGCTTTTTTTGCTCCATCTTTTGCAACAACTCACTTCTGCTGTTGATTCTCCCACCCTATGGCTGATTCCTGAGGTAGGTGGGATGAAGGTCATCAGCTTCCCTCTCTCCCCCTGGACAACTTAAATAAGACATGTCTCCTTAGACGGCTGCTTAGCTGAGATGAAATCGACTTTATTTACAACAAACCTCAGTGTTCAGGTGCTTAATTTTTGCAAGTCCTGATGCTTCATCCCCACTTTTTAATATCCAAATGGTCATGCCATCAAGCCTTGAAATGATGAACCCTGAAAGCACACATTCTGCCCTTTCGTAAATGGAGTATTCAGAAGAGCTCACCACTCCTAAAGAGTTAATTTTGCACAAAAATTGAAAGAAAATTCAAAGCTTGGCCACTTTCTGTGTATTTTGCTGTACACCTCCTCTATATGAAACAACTTTCCCTTTTTCCTTTCAGATTTTCCTCTGGTCCTGTTGAGGAACTTGCGTCATCCCGTCTACCTGCTGGTGGTGTTGGCTCAGGTCAATCTCTCTGCCATGGTTGCTGGTTTAGCAACGTTCATGGGGAAGTTCCTGGAGAGGCAATTCTCCCTTACAGCATCCTTGGCCAACATGATCATCGGTAAGTGTTGCTATCAAGGCTTGCTGGCTTTTGAGCACCTCTTAGAAAATAATTAGAGATTACTAAGAGGCAGCTTTCCCTCTGGAGCTGCCAGTCTCCTTCCATTACCTACGGGCAGACGTGGCACCAAGTCCTTGCCCATACAATTTCTCAGCTGCTATCTATTTTCCTTCCTTTACATTGCAGCCTGAGCTTGCTAGAATAGCAACTTTTGAGACCTGGAGAAATAGTTGCTGTCTAAAGCTGTTCACTGTAATCAAGGAGAGGAAACCCACTCATTGCATCAAGGGAGCAAAGAAACCTCAGATATGAGTTGTGCACGTTTCTGTAGCAGGGGTTACTTTACATCGATCATTGGTTTAAGGGTCTTTGTAAAAGAAGACGGTAAATAAAATTTAAAGCTGCAGTAATATATGCATGCATTTGGAAGACACTTTGAGCAAGAAGCCAGTCAGGCTGGTGTAATAATCATGCTTAAACTCTTCAAAATGTTTGCTGTAGTTAGACTAATTGCTTACAACTGTCAGGCTAATTGCTTGCTGTTGGTATTGTTAAGAGGAGTGTTAAACAGGATACGTGCTCATGAGATTAGATGGCTTTTGCTTGTATTGCAATATCCAGAATGTCCTGTCTCCCTGTGTGAGCTTGTCATGGTAATAAAAATATTAAGAACAAAGCCCTACTCTTACAATCAGTTGGAGGATTCAGAGATCTAGACACAGAAGTATTTTAAGTGTATTTTTGAACAAACAGCACGCGTCCTCAGAGAAAGAGTCTTCTGAAGTCTGCCAGAAATAAATCAGAAGAAAGTGAGCAGAGCAGACTGGTAAAGCCCAGCAACCCAGGCTAAATACAGGCAGAAAGGTTAAATGGTGAAGCAGTGGTGTCCTCCACTGATGTGCCCTGTTGAGTTGTTCCCAGGCTTGATTTACCCTCTCTGTTAGAGACGTGCACCATATTTCTTGTTCGAATTTATCTTGCTTTTGTTCCCAGCTACTGAATCTTGCTTTGCCTTTTTCCATTAGATAAAAAGCTTTCTGTAGTTGGAAACCCCTTCCTTGTGTGGGTATTTATGGGCTGAAAGCAACCTCCCTGTTGATTCTTTATTGAATTAAACAGATAGCACTTCTTTGGTATCCCACTGTAAGGTGGCTTTTGCAAAACTCCAAGTCTGTCATGGAAACCTTCACAGTGTCGCAATGGTGACAACAGAAGTGGGCACATTACTGCATTACACAGAAATGAAACATCCTTTCCAGGTTTCATTGATATTTTCTCCTGTCTACACTGAAAAAAATCACATTTGCTGGATTAAGGTTAACTTTTCAGTGGTCTCGACATCTTCCATGCATGGATACGTAAGAGCCAGTTTGATGTGGGGTCCCACTGGTTTTGCAAAACTGCTCTTTCTTAGCATTATTCCACCAGTCCTGCAAAAAAACTTGGTGCCCTCCAGATCACTGATGCTGAGAAACAGGAATCCAACAACCAATCCCCTGGGCCTTTGCTATAATGGCACTGCTCTAAAGGGACCGATACGGCTCAGAGGATGGAAAACAAGGACCTGCCTTTCCCCAGGTGCTGTGAACATCCCTGGGGCGATGGTTGGGATTGTGGTGGGTGGTGCCATCCTGAAGAGGTTCCAGATGTCTTTGAGGCAATGCAGCGCCATGTGTGTCCTCGGCATGTTCCTCTGCCTGCTCGTGGCTTTCCCCCTCCTCTTCCTTGGATGCCCCACGCAGAAGGTCGCGGGCGTTACCTACAGCGAGAGGTACCGACAGCTCCAGCTAGGCTGGGCACGGGTGGGTCGTTCCCAGGGCTGGGGTTACCCCCCATCCCCAGCTGCACTCCTTGGGGCGGAGGTGGAAGTTAAGCAGAATATCCAGAAATGGGTTTATTCCCTCTTGAGAAACAGTTAATGGTGGTAAAATAAGGCTAGAAAGTAATGCTTTTGTGAATAAGCACTGAATCTGCTGCGTCCTTACTCCTTCTAACTTCATTGACTGGTTGTGAAACCTGAAGTGAAAGCATTTTTGGCACAAACAGCATGAGATTAAACCTTCATCTTGGAAAGTGCAGTGCGTTACTCATAGGTGAATAATTTGGGCAGGAGCCAGCCCTGGGATCACACCTTCAAAGCCCTGGCTGCTTCCCCACGCAGCAAAACCTGGGCAGGACCTTGTCTTCCTTCAAGGCTTGATCCAAGCTGCTGTAAATTCACATTCCTGTGGTTTCGGTGGAAGCTGGTCTGAACCCTTAGCGGGAAGCACACCACCTCCCACAGGGTGCTGTTGCACTACCCCAAGACCCCACATTTGGGGCCAAATGTGAAGGAAGTGGGTGACTCCCTTGACCATGTGTGGTCAGGATGCTTTGCCCAGGCAGAGCAAAGGCTTGGGGGGTTATAGCGGAATTTCTGTGGGTCCTCACTTACATACGGGACAGGGTTTTTTTAAGCAATCAAATGTTTCTTTACTAATTTCAAGATACATGCAGTGTGTTTTCTGTGTAAGATGCATATTAATGATGCTCAATACCGTGCATTAATAGTTTCTTCCTGCTGTAGCTCTGAATTTGGACACCACGCCTTGGAGTGTAACCTCCAGTGTGACTGCCCCGAGAAAGCCTATAACCCCATCTGCGGCTCTAACGCCATTGAATACATCTCACCCTGTTCTGCCGGCTGCAGAGTTGTACATATCGATGCAGACAACAACTCCGTCCTGGTGAGTCACTCCCACATGCTCTAGTGTCCTGGCTTGGGATGGCTAAGGAGGGATGACCAATGCAGGGCTCAAGGCTGGCAGTTAGGTTTCCTGATGTTGGTTAGTGTTGGACAAGCTCTGCATGACCCTCTGGGATGAGCTGGGGAAGGCTGGGAACATCCCAGGAAAACCCCTTGTAGATGGTGTCTCTTAGCACTCTCCAGTATAACACAGCCCTTGCCAGAACAGATCCTTGGCCAAGGCAGCAAGCAGAAACCTTTAGGTATCCGGCCTCCTTAGGGTGTCAAGGTGTCCTTCCCCATCCACTGCTCCACCCCAGGTCAGGTTTTGCTCCACAAACCTTAGCTTCAATATCTCCCGTGCTACCCAGCAGCTTGAGTGGATGATGCAAAGACCTTCTGCTTTCTTTCCACCCTGAGCTGATGTCCAACAAGTTCACCTTTCTTAATTGTGTTTTCTGTGGTGGGACAGGAGGACATGCAGTATGGGAAGGGCTAATCACAGCACCTAGCATGAACCCAAGTCCGTGGATGCCTCTTGTACTCAAGGGATGCTTTCTCCACAGGATGGGTCAGCCCACCTCCAGGCTCCTGCTGTGAATTGCCCCATCTGTGTTCCTTGAATAGGGACCTGCCAAAACCAGGGTCTCCATTTAGGTACCAGATGCCTGAAGAGCTCTGAAACTGGATGGAGTTCAAATGTTCCCATTTTTGCAGGGCTGTGAAGGCAAAATATCAACGCAGGTCGTACACATTTTCACATACCTCAATGTCTGGCAGCAGGTATCACCCAGAATTCTCACCCAATTGTATTTGCTTGGGCTTCACCTAAAATACTGCTCAAAGCCTAGAGTGAACTATTTCTTTATTTATGTTTGCTGAAGCAAAGTGCAAAACGGCAACTGGTCTAAACTGGCCTCCGGCAGAGTCAGGGGAAATACCAGCTGAAAACTCTCAACTGGTACCTACAGTTGCAGAAGCAGCCTGGGTGTTTCCATCATGTAACTTGCTCTAGTTTTGTTACACCTGTAGATCATATATAGGGATGAAGAGAAGGAAGGTAAATCCTGCTTTTGGGGCCTCATGGAGCCATGCTGTATGCTCTGGGCCAGCCAAGCCTGGAGGAACCGTTGCCCAATACACTTAGCACTGACATTTATCAGACCTTCACTGCATGCCCTGAGAGGGCCTCGGTAGAGCAATGCTATTGCACCTTTCAGCTTGCAGATTTGCAGGTTAAAAAGTCGTGATCTAGCTGCATTTTGTCCATAAGCAGCGGTTGCCAAGCCAAGTGTCTGCATGAGAGGATAATTTAGTGGGAGAGTCCCAATGAGAGGGGCTAGAGAAATGGGGCTTGCTCTTGCCTTTCCCTTGATTTGCAGACCTGGCTGGGTTATTGTGCTGCCCTGTGCTTCTCTCTCCTCTGCTGCTCCCTGCCTGTCACTAAAACCCCGGTAGGACTGAGTTTTCCCAGTGCCAATTGTCTATTGGATTTCCAGGCAATACAGTTTAACAAATAAACAGCAAGAAAATCTTTGCTAATTCGAATACCTGCCTGAAAAATGTTAGCAATCCATACAGGGTGAGTAGTTTTCCTCTGTGTTCTTGGCACAGGGTATAATGGCAGCATGGGACTGTCTGGGCACTTTTTAGCAGCATTTTGTTAATTAACAACACTTCATTTTAATAACAACTACGTTTTCTGCCAGAGCTTAGTCCCAAATGGGCCTTTCTGCATCCCTGTGCCTGCCTTTTGTACAGCAGATCGTTTTCAACTGCTTCTTCCTCCTCAAAGGTGCCTCCAGCCTTTTCACATCCCCTGACCCACGCCTGCTTTTGTTATACATCTATTGTTATACATCGATGTAGCCACAAGCTACAACGAAATCATGGTTTTCACATTTGCCGTGCAAATGCTGCTTTGCAAAACCAACATTAGCCCTTCCTTTAGCCCTGAGATAATTTACAGAATCTCCTTTCTACCTATTGATGCAGTTTGACCCAATTTAAGTCGTGTGAGAGCTTCTTCTGCACAGGGACTGTAACCCAGCACGCTGTTATAAATGCCAAGCCATGTTCCAGCACGTAGTAACCGCAGCATGTTGCATCTCCCTGGGACAGGGGGTTCGGGGCACACAGTGATGTGGCAACAGACGCTGAGCTCTGCCCCTTTATCATGCTGGGCTTAGGAGCTGAGCTCAGATGTCTGCAGAGCAACCTCAGTTCATCTCTGGGTTTGGGTATTACCTGTTGCAGGAAAGGAAAAATGAGTTTATTGCATTTTGTGGCGTTCCTCCAGCTCCTGCTTTCTCTGCTCTATTACACTTTTTGTACCATTTGCAGCATCTCTTCGCCAATGCAGGGGCCTGTGGTGCTCATTGCTTACTGCTTTCCATGTCCCAAAAGCTTGGGCTTCTAGAAACCCTCCCAGCACACAGGAAAACCCTCCATTTTCACTCAGCTTTGCTGCAGCACTTCCAGAGGAGGCTTGCAAAGTGCAAGCTTGATTTTAACTTCTACACTGAAAGCAATTTGCTCTTTGCATCGCCCAATGCCCCCAAATTTCATGGGCAACAGCAGGAGCCCATAAACTTTGCCCAAGAGCAGGACTTTGCAGTGACAACCTTTTAGTGCTTTGCTATTTGTTCAGGTCCAGTGCGACCTGTTGAAGTGAAGTGGCCGTGGGGACTCTCCCAGGACTGCAGGAATCTCTGTGCCATGGGGCTCCTGAGTTTCTGCTCTCATCGTGCATGGCCACGGGTGGGAGCAGGGACATCCCTGTGCTGCTAGCCAGGTTGGATCCGAGCTGGTCAGCACACACCTCAAAATTGAGGGAACTGGAAGGTCCCAGCTGGGGAAAAAAAAAAAAAAGAAATTAGACAGCATCGGGCGGAGTTTGATGGGAGAGGCTTTCTCTCTTAAGAAAACAATCGCTAAATGGTGCTGTTGGGGATGTTTAATGCACAACCCTGAAAAACCTGGGGCTGGCCGTGTGCCTGTCCTGCCTGGAAACCACAGCCCCAGTTTCAGGGCTGCTCTAGGTTATTCTCCTCTCCCCACTTTGCCAGACGTTTTTTTCCCAGCCCTGGTGCTGCATCAGCCTCGTGGCGCTGCTGCCGAGACGGTGCGTCTCACGGAGATGGGCCACTGGCAGCTTTGTGGCTTGTCCCCGCTGCTCGGAGGGTTTTGCAGCTGGGGTCATGCCCCCTGCTCTAAAATCCTCCGAGGTTTTGAATGAAAGGGGCAGAGCCCTGCCTCGTGCCTCCATTGCGTGCCTCTCCAGCCCTTTGTCTCCATTTGGCTTTGTGCAAGTCCCCTCAATGTCGGGGCTCTGATTCTCTATAAAAGGTGGCAGTCGCGCAGATCGAGCGAGTTTTAATTTATCTAATTGCATTTTTGTTAACTGCTTTGGCCCGAATTAATCTCAGCTATCATAGGGACTTCCCTGTGGTGGGTCCTCTGGAGACCCACCTCTCCTTCCTTGACTGCAGAAGGAGCCCAGATGATGAGTTTGGTTTAGTTCGTTTCAGATGGCTGAAGACGATAAAACCCAGTCTTGATTTACAATATTAAATCCCCTTTCCTAGGGGTGGGAGGAGGGATTGTGTCCCCTTTCATCCTAAATCTCCCCCCGTGCTCTCAGTCGGGAGCAGTTCCTTGTGGGTCTCTTTTATGGGCATCAGGCGTGCCACTTCTCCAGGCAGTGATGTGGGAACGGGGATTTGGGAGACCCTGGGATGCCCCTGCCTCTGGGATCACTCTTCTGCAAACTGTCATCCTGCTGTGAATCTGTTCCCCCTCCAGCAACAATAAGATCATGTTCATTTTATTTAAAGGTCTGTTCCAAAAAAAAAAAAAAAAAAGAGGCTTCTTGTTTAAAAAAAAAGAGAATTATGACTAAAATCTGGAGGAAAAAAACATCCATATCCCTCGCCCCGGGGCATCTCTCCTTTGCTAACGCTGTGCTAGTTATTTATGACCCTCTCTCAAAGGTGAGGTTTTGCATTTTCCCCTAGAAGGTGTTTTCTGACTTAACACTCCCCTGAGCTTGGGCTCTGGCTTTGATTGCCAGCTCTGCTCTACCCGTAGCCCCTGGATGAAGGGTCTCAGAGCAGGAGACAAGCTGGGGACAGGTGATGGAGCCCAGGCTGTTCCCCTGGAGATTTCCTCCAAAAAATATAACGCAAGCAAGTAAGCTTACATCAGGCTTGAATGTTTTATCAGCTGTGGGTGAGGTTTTTCCATGCCCAGAGTCCGGATTTCTGCAGGATGCCAAAGCGTTCAGCTGGCAAACGATGACATTGAAATAAACCTGTTTGTAAGCATCTTCAGGGCACAACAGGCGTGAAACATGGGTTTCTGCAGGGGGTAGGGAGGCATTGCTGGGGCTCACACCAACAACGTGAGGATGCCTCTGTGTTGGGAGCACTTCCAGGTGCCTCTGGAAGCCCATGGAGATGAACCAAGGTACCACAGTGGTCCCAGCTTTCCCATCAGCTGTGCGTGCTCGCCCCGTGGGACCTGGTGGGACTGGGACCTCCTTTCAGAGATGGCAGCATGTTGGAGGCTGGAAGTAGGGGTGGGAATACGTGTTTCCTCATCTGCTCAGTCTGTTATCCCCAGCCAGCTTCACTGTATGTGTTTCTTTTTTTTTTCCCCCTTGCTCACTGAAGTGTTGAGTGCTAATTACTGCTAATTATTTACAGACAAAACCTGAACACCCTCCCTCCCTATGACAGCTGGCAGCTGTCCCTGGTATCTCCATAGCCTTGAGCAGATGAGCAGCCCCTGGGTTTTCTCTCCTCTTTGCAGAACTACACCAACTGCAGCTGCATCTCTGAAAACGGGTTTGCCAAGCCCGGGACCTGTGGCACCAGCTGCTCCCACCTCTTCCTGCCCTTTGTGGTCCTGTCCTGCCTGGCGGGGATCCTCGCCAGCACATCACACACGCCGTCCTTCATGCTAATCCTCCGGTGAGCAGACTGGGTTGGACGTGGCCTAGATGGAGCCAGAAAAGGCATCCAGAGGTGGTGTTTGGAAAACCAAGGGATCCTGGAATTGAGGAGGAAGATTTTCTCCAGCTGAGTAACGGGAGGGTTAAATCAGCCCCCTGTTGCACCTCGTGCCCTGTTCCTCCCACTGCTTTTAGATGGTTTTTTTCGTGTGTTTGGTGCAGGGAATGGGGAACGGGGCTTCCCTGCTCCTGTCATCTGGCAGTGCATGTGGTTGTCCATCTTCCAGGCTATGTCTGGCTAGGGAGCAGGCTGTGCTTTGCTAGCAAAGACTTGGCATGGCTGGGCAGGACAGAAACATTGAGCAATCTCCAGTCTTAAATGTTGAAGCAGGAGAGACCTTTCGGGCTTGCTCTTGAAGACCCTGTACTAACAAAGCTCCTGCTGCCCTAAGACTGCCAAGGCTCTTCCAAGGTCTCTTTGCCTGTTGCTGCTGATCCCTGCAGAGCCAAGCAGGAGATTTCAGGCTTTATCATGGAGCCACCAGTGCTGCGTGGCCAATGGCTTTTGCAGGCAACGTGGTATTCACCAACAGCCTCAGGCAAGGACCAGCCGGTGGGTGAGTGGTGGCCACACCACACCAGGCCCCCGTGGCACCTCCACCCACTGACGGGGCTGTGGGGCTCGCAGGAACCCCACATCGCCCTCAGCACCCCCCATTCCTGGTCTCAGCACAACCTTCAGATCTGGCAGCCGTCCTGTTCCTCCTCCCCACCCACGGCTGATACCTCAGTAATGAGATGCACCATTAACTCAGCATTAATTTAGCACGGCGGTGCTTTGGCACTTTTTAATGCAGCTCCGTGTTAAGTTAAGGAATTTAATTACCTTCCCTCCTTCTGATGGATCTCGCTTGAGCACAGCCTCCCTTCCCAGTGCAGAGAAGCAATCAGGACTCTAGTTTCCCACACCCTTGGAAAGGTGCCTACGAGGCAGGCCGTGGCAGGCTGGAGCCAGCCTCACATGAGCCCCAGGCTGGTGGGGCTGGAGCCTGGGATGGGCGGGAGAGGCTGAGACTGGGGCTGGGGGAAAGCCATGGGGGAATCTCTGTGTTAGTCCATGAATGGTATTTCCAAGCACATTTCTGTTGTCGAAGCGCTCCAAACACTTGCTTTTTAGGGAAAAGCCGTGGTTAAAATCTGGTTTTACCTTGACTCCGAGGCATTATTAAATCACCTTTGATGCCAAGAGCGAGCTGTGCGTACACCAGACAGTCAGAGAGGAAAGGGAAACTGAGTCCCCTGAGGTGTGCTGACCTGGGGGTCCCCCGCCACCTGATACTCTCCCATGTGTGACCCCAGCAGGAACCACAGCCTGAAACACTTATTTCAGAAAACTAGGGTACCACCAAAATATACACTGAGGTATCCCACCTCAAAAAAAAAAAAAGCCACTTCCTCAATGGGTAAATCACTTCTCTCTTTCAGTTACAAAAAGCATCCCTTGTGTTGCTCGTGTTGGGCAGAGCCAGCGGCTCTATTGGTTTCTGTTTGCGTTCTGCTCGTACGGATTCTTTACATTAAAAGCAAAAAGACGTAGCTGAGCTCCTCCCTGTCTCTTACGGAGTTTGGTTGGTTTTTCAGGCCAAGAAAAGGCTGTGGTAAGCTTCTAGCTCTAATGAATGAAACTTCATCCTTTTTGCTGACGTAAACAGGACCTGCCTGGGGTCCTCGGTGGCTGGGTTGAAGGGTGACTTTTTGGGTGAGGTGCCGTAAGGCTTTGTGCAATGCCGGAAAGATCCATCTGTGTGAAAATGCCACGGGACACAGTTTCTGGTTTGTTTTTCAGGAGCATCCAGCCTGAAGACAAATCGTTTGCGGTTGGGATACAGTTCATGCTGCTGAGGGTTTTAGGTAAATTAAAACGTGGTGAAATGCCGTCCTGGAAAATCGTTGCAGCTCTTGAGGATTTCATCCCTGAGCAGCCCCAGGGCTGCAGAAGTACTGTTTATTCAGAGTTTCAGACTGACCAAAGCCTGTCCTAAGCTGGAGAAAGATGCTGCCTTGCAGGGTCTGGGGGGCTGCAGACAGCGGGGAGGAGATGAGCTATATCTGTTGGGGTATATCTATGTGGCTAAATAAAAGGACGCAGGAAATAAGTTTAGGTCCAGGAGGGCAGCCCTTGGCTGTGTGCAGATACTGCCCTGTCTGCCTCCAGCGTATCAGGGTGGCTGCAAACCATGTCCTACGATCCCACTAGTTATCTTTCCTGTAGTGAAAATTCACATTCACCTGGAAGCCCCCAGAACACGCCACTGTAGTTGTGGGAAGGAACATACATGAAGGAGGTGGGCCTCATCCCTGGAATGAGCGATGGTCCCTGATCAAAGAGCAAGGAGAAAGAAGGTCAGCCTTGCATCTTGGTGGGGTGCAGGCACACAGAGCCAGCCCTTGGTGTGCTGTGCAGGATCCATGGCTCCCTGGGCCACAGCAAAGAAGACCATCCCCAGCCCCTTTCGGCCCGCTTAGCCCCCAGGAAAGTAACCAGGGTTAGGTCTGTCCTGGCAGAGGCACTCCCCTAACAAAGCCCCCTCTGACCCTCTCCTTCCAGCATGGATGCCGGGGCCTGTTCTGTACGGCAGCGCCATCGACACGACCTGCATCCTCTGGGAGAAGAAGTGCGACAGGAAGGCAGCCTGCAGATACTACGACAACAACCTCTTCAGGCAAAGGTAGGGATGAGCGGTCAGGATAAGGGCTGAGGGTGTGGAGGGAAACCCAGAGGGAACGTGGCGTCTCCAACGTGGGAGGAGTTGTTGTAAACACCGTGGTAGGCAAACAGGGTCACTCGCAGACCCCTGGACTCCCAGCAGTGCCCAGGAATGGTTTGGAAAGTCATTGGCACAAGCCAAAACCCTGCCAAGGACCATGCCAGCTTGCTGCTATAGACCACAGAGGCACACTTCCAGAAGCCCTCCCTGCATTATAGTGAGAACCGTCATTCACTGGAACCCAAGGACGTGGTAGAGTCCTCATCACTGGAGGTTTTCGAGGTGCGAATGGACAAAGTGCTGGATAATCTCATCCAAGCTCCCTTTCCCACAAAAGGTTGCACTAGGTGATCTTTTGATCTCTCTTCCAACACGGACTGTTGTGTGATGCTATGGTTACTCATTTGACCAGCGTAGGCACAAGCAGCCTGTCCTGACACCTTCTCCATGGAGGGAATGCAGCAGCAGGGGTGACCCCAGCCTCAAAGCTGCCTGTGGGGTGGTGCAGAGTCCATGCAGGGTGCCTTGCAACCTGGGGCTCATCTTCCAACAGAATGGCCCAGCTCAACACACAGAAGACACCAAATGCAGCCTGTGCACTGTGGGGAGGCTGGAAGGGAGCTGTAGGTGGTCTTCCACCCCCATTGCAAATTCATTGTTGTTGAATGACTCACTGACCAGTAGCTGCAGCAAGTCCTATTCACCCTCAACCCCAAGACATGTTTTTATGTGCCTCCTTCTTACCAGGCGAGATGATCTCCTAATGGAACACCAAAGAGAAGTGCATCTTGACAGCTACTCCTCCTCTTTTTTCCACCCTTCTTGGGACCCAGGCTTGCAGCAGTTGCTTGCCCACTGCTGAATGTGCTCAGGGAGCCCATCCCCATATTCAGTGTCTCCTGGGTGCCTGGGGACATCGTGTGTTGGTGCTTCATGCACAGAGGAATGCCCTTGCTACCCTAATTTATTGTGTTTCCACACCACAGGTATCTCGGTCTCCAGTTTTTCTTTGAGGTGGGCACTTTCCTGTGCTTCGTGACCGTGTATGTCATTCTCAGACGGCAGGAGAGGGAAGCCCGCAATGCAGCAGAGACAAAGGCAGACCCAGAGAAGGAGAAACTGGCTGGGAACTCCATAAAGACCCCAGAATCCAAAGTGTGACACCAAAAATGTGAATTGCGATCCCTGTTGGGGGAGGTGAAGCCATGTGAATCACCCCACACTTGAACTGTGAAGGACGGATGCTTGGAGCGATGGACGACGGGGCTGCTTCCTCATCTTCTGGGTGGGATGTACTACTTCTGTACTGCCGTGGGAGTCTGTCCATACGCTGTTCTACGCCTGCCTCTTCCACCTCAATGGTGCAGCTTGCTCCTTCACATGGATGAGTCCACACACATTAACCTTTGGACACTGCAGTCTTCTGGATTTATGTCCTCCAAAGCATTTGTTCCTGTTGACAGTCTTGGTGATGCCAGCACTGAGCATTAACCATATAGCTGAAGAGTTTTGTGGGGTTTTTTAATAAATCATTTTTAAGAAATGGTTTTGTACTGAACCCATACATCTCCATGAATGATGGTCTGTCCTTGCCCCCAAACTGTCAGTTGTGCTTGTTCCTTTTGCTCTTGCGGTGTTAGATGGTCTCTTTTCGTTGAAGGTTTCATCCAGCTCCCGTTGACATTGATGGGATTTTTGTCCCAGGCTGTGGACCGTTGCAAGGACCAACTCACACACTTCACCCAGCTGCTGAGTAGATGCTGCTTTGGCAGTGAGGGGCAGGGATGAGGATGCTGGGGAGGGGAGGACATCAAAATAAACCACAGGTCCAGCCGAGGAGAGACACTCCAATGCCCACAGGCTTGTAGCACTTTGGCAGCACAGCCACAGTTCGCAGCAATAGTAATAATAATTCTCTTTTTTTTTTGCATTGTCAGTACTTGTCACGCGATCTTACTGAAGCATGTGAGTGTTTTTCAGTTTCCAGTTTGAGAAAGGCAGAACTTTTCCCAGGGATGCAGGACCAGAAAGGAAGGTTGAACCCAGCCCTCTTGCAGACTGGGCAGAACTCGTGGCTAAGCCATTTGACCACAGAGCCAGACAGCCTTGCTGGGCTCCTTGAAGGGGTTACTGTCAGATGCAGCTGTAATTATTGGGTGAAACTTGAGTCTGGTGTTATTTTGGTGTAGCTGCCTCTATTTTCTGCGTTCTTCCCATCTCGGGGCTCCTTTCCACCCAGGCACAAATTGTGTTGCTGGTCTCATGCCATCAGTGTGCAACCACAGACTGTTGGGTAACTTGTAATTTTTGGCTCCAGAATGGTATGAAACCAAAACTTCTAAGTTCAGCCCAAATATGCAGAAGAGAAGAGAAATACACAGTGGAGAAAATTCATTAACTCTTCACACCCTGGCAAATAGTCCTATGGTAAGATCTGGGGTGTGCAGAGAAGTACGGTGGTGGAGGGTAGAAAGGCCAGTGGTTAAGTGGCTGGTTTAGATATTTCACCAGTCTGTTTGCCCAGCCATTTTGAGAGACCAAATTAACATAATTTCAGAGTGAGAGACTCATTTTGTAGGGAAAAAAAGGCAGGTTGCATATTTTTATGCAGGGCCTTTTGTTCATTGAGGAGATGGTTAAGAGTCTACACCCCTGTTCACAGGTACCTACACACAGAAGTGACTTCTAGCTTAAAAGAAGATGTTAGAAGACAGATGTGAGAGTGGATGCTGAAGAGATACAGGTGGATCTGTTCAAGAAAGGATGAGTAGCATATGCTAACAATGAGCATTGGAAGGCTAAACCTGGGCGAGGTTTGCACTATTCTCCATTTTCAAGCCATGACTAGGTAGTATCTGTTCCTAAAACAGAAAGAGGAGTGAGGTTCTTTGGACAGGAGTAGGGAAGAGGCAGGCCACCATGTTCACAGTGGTCCTTCCAGCTCTGGGCAGCCCATGAATTCGGGGCATCCTTGCTGGATCTGGTGAAGGAGGTTCTTTCCTGGATAAGCACAAGCCCTCGGCTCGCAGGCCGTTTCCTGCATTCTTCAGCACAACCTCAAGTTGCTCCAGGGTACTTTCCAAATCAGAGCCAACTCATAACAACACAATTGGGTTTGTATGGTGTGAACACTCGAGAGCTGCAACGTGCTTTGCCAGGAGTCCCCTTGGATGGGGCTGCAGCACGACTTTATGAAGTCGGGAAGCCTGCACCTCCCTACCATCAGGGCAGCTGACTTCAGAGGGGGATCAGACCATGCTGGAGCACCACAGCAGCACAGCCTGGAGTCCTGGGCTTGGTGTTACGGTCTGCCAGCACAATCCTTGTGCAAAATTGCCACTGACCTTTTGCTCATCCTGTGCTGCTGGGTCTGCCTCTCTGGGCCGTTGAGCAGTGGTGGGCTCAGGCTCAGGGGGTAGCTGTGTTCTTGTAAAGCAGATGGCATAGCACTAGACTTCTGTTATAAATCAGAGTGAGACCCTCAGAGGCACGACTGTGCAGCCTTTCTGAAAGCCCCCTGGATTGCATCAGCTGTTTCTTAATCCTCACGATTACCAAAGCAGTGGTGCTGCTTATAGAGAGCAGAGAAGGGAAAAAAAAAAATAACCCCTTCCACAGCAGTTTGTCTTGTAAGTTGGTTCACAAACAGCATCATGCAAAAATAAACAGTGAGTTTGATTACCTCCCTTGGATTTGCAGTGCTATTTCAGGCAGCAGGGGGGCTGCCCCGTTCCTCAATCGTCTGCTGGGCTCATGATGGATGCAGGAGAAACCTGCAGGATAGCCTGGCCAGGTCACTCCCAGCATGGCCTGTTCTCACTGCTGGGCTTGGGACTCTACATCCATTTTCCACTTGGTAAACTCCTATCACATCGTATAGAGATTTTTCTCAGGCAATGTACAAGCTGGTACAGCCTGAATTCTTCCTTTCCTTATTACCTCTCCAGCAGAGGAGAGTTCCCTGCAGGTAAGCATCCGAGGCAATTGCAAATCGTGTGTCTTAGCTTTGTGGTCAGCTATAGGCCTGTTATTATGCTTTTGCTGTGGTAATTTCCATTAATTTGGTCTGGAGTTTTTATAGAGGGAAATAAAACCACTTTTCCCCCTTCCCCTCTCCTCTGTGCTCTTTAAGAACACTGTTGAAAGGGACTGACTTGCAAGAGAAGATTAAAAAGAGAGACAGTTTGGAAAGACCAGCTCCCACTGTCAGCAGGGAAGGAGATAAAAAACCAGGAAATATGAAAAGGTTGTCAGCAGCAAGGTAGGAGGAGGAGGGTTTGAAGGAGAGCAAGGGGCAGGTAGGTAGGAGGATTGCAAAAAAAAAAAAAAAAGGAAGCAAAGAAAGGTGTAGCATCAGCAAAATCTACCCTGTGCTGTTGTGCTTTGCCAGATTTTCCCCTCTGGAGACAGCTTCAAATAGAATTTACAAAGCACTTAAGGATATGCCTCAGGCAACAGCCGTAAATTGCATAGGGGAGGTTAACATGAAGCCAGCTGAGCCATAACTCCATTGACTTTCTTCAGCCTTGTTCCTTTGTGCTCCAGGGAGGCTAACGGAGATAATTTACAGCAAGGCAGGTATAAGAAAGACGTCCAGACCAGGAACTGAATGCACTGGATGTTTCTGCGCAGCACTTTGTAGTACCAGGGGCCACAGACCTGAAGATGGAGCAACACCTTTAGAGCTGGTAAGAATTGCCCAGGAATCAAAACAGGAGGGAAGGCTATTTCCCCAGCTTACAAGGAAGCTTTGCAAAGTGCAGGGAGGTTGGGTGGGTGGCACCAGTTCCAGCAAAGGCAGCAAGCTGGTTAGCAGAGACAGATAGCTCTGCAGGGAAGTGTCTCCCAGGCTGGGAACTGCTTTTGTGCAGATTTATTACTTTAGAATCATCCTGTTCATGTCAATCCCTTGCAAATTCATCTGTGGTCTACAGCATCTTTTGATCATATGCTGACACTCCTTATACAGATGTTTTTAATGTGCCTGTGGTGGCCGTTCTCCAGTACAATGCAGCCTCCAGTTTAAGCAGTCACTAGATCTATCATTGCAGGAGCTCAACTGTCCTGTCTTGAGGGTCAGGATTACAGACATGTTCTAAGAGACCTCTGGAGGTCATCTAGACAGCAAGACCATCACCTACACTAGATGAAGGCAGCCATGACTTTGACTTGACCGAGAAAACCTCCAAGGATGGAGGTGCCACAGCCTCCCTGGTGCCAGGGCTGCACCACCTTTCTGGTCAAAAATGCTTTTCCTAGTGTCCAGCCTGAACAGCCCAAACCACATCTTGTGGCTATTGCTCCTTGTCATGCTGTCTGCTGTGCCTGAAAAGACTTTTGGTCCATTCTCTCTACCCTTAAGGTAGCTGTAGGGTGGTGTTAGATTGCCCTTAGCATCCTTTTGGGTAAACAAACCAGTTCCCTCAACCTCTTCCCATTGACCATGTGCACCAGGTCCTCTGCAGGCCCTCTCTATTTTATCCCCATCCCTTCTGAACTCGGGAGCCCAAAACTTCAGACTATATCCCCAGGTGTGGGCTCACCAGGGCTGAATATAGGGGATAAAAACTTTTCTCAAGATCCCTCTGATGCTGTCCAGCGTGCAGTTTGCCTTTCTCATGATGAGAGTGCTCTGTTGGCTTAAGGTCAGCTTGGTGTGCGCTGTAATCCTTTTCAGTGGGTCCCTACTCACCCAGACAGTTCCCAGCCTGTAACAGTGAGTGGGTTTGTTTTGACCCAGGTGCAAAGTGCCTCACGCTTCTTGATGAAATTTCCAGAGGTTTCTGTTGACCCAACCATCAAGTTGCTCAAGGACCTTTTGGATTGAAGCTGTCCCATTTATCATGTCACCTCTTCTAATTGAGTAACTCCTTCAGACTTGCTGAGATGCATCCTGTCTCATCTTACATGTCGTGGATGAAGATAGTGGACAGTATCAGCCCCAGTATTGATCCTCGAGGCTCAACAATTCCCCTTGCTACCAGCCGTCAGCTGGATGCAGAGCCATTGATCACCACCCTCTAAGCCTGGCAGTCCCACCAGTTCTCGGCCCATCTAACATCCCTTTGCCCGCAAGCCCACACTTTCTCAGCCTTTTCTGGTTGTCTGGGACTCAGATCATGACAGTTTTTCATAGAGGACAGAAAGGGACTTTGCAAACATGTCAGCCAGCTGCTTCATCATCCTCCGGTGAAATCCATCTGACTCTGTGGATGTGAATGCTCCAACTTCTTGGAGCCGTCCTGCTGCTCCCTGGGTTCTCCATTTACTTCCC